CAAAATTAATAAACATATAATTATTCACTAACGCTGCAGTATGTCTATAACTGTAAATTTCAAAGTCCTCAGATAAATTTGTAATATTTGCTTTTGTCCATGACCATTGAGAATTTTCAATATATAATGTCCACGCATCCCCACTAACATATGATTTATCCATTATACCGCCATAAATTATAACACGGTTATCGTGGGCTTTTTAATTTAATAATTCATAAAAGAAATTTAGTATTCAAACATATATTGGTACAGTATTGATAAATAACATACTTAATACCGCCGAGAAATCTCTACGGCCGGGAGGTGTTGGACCGGATACAGCCTAATAAGATTATTAAGATAAATAAGAATTGTAATTATTTGTACGTAGTATAGTTGACACCATTAATAAGATTACAATCAATTGATTTAAAGTAATTAATTTAAGGTAGGTGTCACCTATACTATATTTATTTATTCGTCACATACCATATTTATCCATGTATCAGATTTTGTATTATATAATGGTAACTATAAATGCATTAATAAATAAAAGCTAAAAAATATTAATTTATAAAAGATATTAATTTATAAAAGATAATGCTTACTTTATCCATTGGAGCAAATGGATCAGATGTCTGTCCACCAATGTATAATATGCTTTGATCAGGCAAAGTTACTGCACAATAACCCATCCTAGGTGAAGGTGGATTTTTCGCATTTATTAAATTCCATGATAATGTTGATATATCGAATGTCCAAAGATCATTAAATAAAATATTGCTACTATTTATAGCAGAACCTCCAAAAATAGCAATCAAGTTATTGTTAATTTTAGCACATGAAATACCAAATCGATTAATTGGCCCAGATTTGATATCAGTCCATACTTTTTCACTTATATCATATTGGTGAGCAGAAATATTATCAGATCCATAAAGGTAGCCACCAAAAACAAAAATTAATCCATTATTTTCTCCACCACTACAGGCCGAACCATGAAGTGTTTTAGGACCATTAGTATTAGTAAGGTCAACCCATGA